TTTTTTTTTTAACGTTTATTTATTTTTGAGACAGAGAGAGACACAGCATGAACGGGGGAGGGGCAGAGAGAGAGGGAGACACAGAATCGGAAGCAAGCTCCAGGCTCTGAGCCATCAGCCCAGAGCCCGACGCGGGGCTCGAACTCGCGGACCGCGAGATCGTGACCTGAGCTGAAGTCGGGCGCTTAACCGACTGAGCCACCCAGGCGCCCCAGCCTACTGCTTCTTTTAAGTCTGAACTTGATGCATATTTTTAATTTCTCCATCCCTGTCTAGGACTTATGCATGGAACTTCCAATCATTCTTCCAAAAATGCACCTCATGATACGTAGGAGCATAAATACTGTCCAGGCAGCCTCTGTATCACGGTACTCTTTCAGAAAGAGGGGACTCACCTTCCCTGTAGCTCTGTTTTCCATTTAACAAAGAAGAAAGAGGCTCTTTCAGAAATTTTTGCATAGGGTAATTGGAATTTAAATTTAATAACACCCTTGCCTAACTAGTTTTAAAAATGTAATTGTTTTTCACGTATAAATCTCTCACCTGAAGCATTTTACTATGGCAGTTTCATCATCCGCCTCTCTGCAAGTGTTTATCGAGTGCTCACTAGTCTCGGCAGGTCAGCTTTGTGAGTCAGGTAGAAATTGAACAGTCGGCCTTTACTTTGACTAATCACTAGGCAGAGCAATACAGGAAAATCTAGCAACTGAGTAAATGGAAGCTAGGTAAATGTTATTGATGGCCTAACCAGCTCACCAGCCAATGAGGTTCTACCCAGCTCTGTACCATAGACAGCCGTGTCCTTTCATACTGTTGTTAAACCCTACATTTCTTGCTGTCAAAAAACATACCCTGTTGGCACCAAGTTCTCTTTTCTTTTATAATAGTCCTGCCATAATTGCTAAATGACCTGTCTTCAGATTACCTGTTATCATACAAAACTGTTCTCTGAAAAAATGATATTATAGTAGGTTGCATGTGACTACAGCCATTTGATTTTAGCTGAGCTTTTCCTGGGAAGGCTCGTACCAAAAAGTTTGAAGCACATATTGTGTACACCTTCTAGAGACTTAATCTTTAGTATGGAGACCAACTGTCTTGTTATTTTCTCTCACACATTATTTTTTCTCTTTCAGTGTGAATGATATCATAGCTGTTGGACCGGCACATTTCTATGCCACCAATGACCACTATTTCTCTGATCCTTTCTTAAAGTATTTGGAAACATACTTGAACTTACACTGGGCAAATGTTGTTTACTACAGTCCAGATGAAGTTAAAGTGGTAGCAGAAGGGTTTGATGCAGCAAATGGGATCAATATTTCACCTGATAAAAAGTATGATTCTTTATTAGAGTATCTTCATTTCTCCTTAGTCGTGGTGCTGGGCCAAATTCTTCACTTTGCTTTTGTTTTTTTCCCTAGTGTAAAAAGCTTTCTTGATATTATTTCGGTGTATGGTATATGTATGTATATTACATACATATGTGTGTGTGTGTGTGTGTGTGTGTGTGTGTGTGTGTGTGTATTATGTGTTTACATACAATATCTAAATTTTGGTATATATCATTGTAGAACTTAATTTTATAAATGCAAATTTTTATGGAGTGGGACCATATTTACATAAACATATTAAAGTATGAGGTATGTGTTTCCTTTAAATAAATATGTCTTTGTTTTATTGGCTGTATATTATTCCATTATAGGCATGATCCTAAACTGATTAAACCAATTATCTGTTAATGGATATGCAGGAGGCTTTTTCTCTGTTGTTTTTTTTTTTTAAATAAAAAGTACTTTGTATTTCTCATTTACCACTGAAGCTTCTCCAGCTATTTTTTAAGTATTTATTTTATAGCTTATTTATTTATTTTGAGAGAGAGAATAAGCATGAGTGGGCGGGGCAGGGCAGAGAGAGGGAGAGAGAGAGAGAATCCCAAGCAGGCTGCACTTTGTCAGCATTCCTCCGGATATTTTTAAGGAACAGCCCCCTAAGTGAGCATTACAGCAAGATCCACCTTCAGGTTTGGGGATGATACAGAGAGACCTGGTTCAAATGCCAGCTGGGCACTGGCTAAATGTAGTGCTATGAACCCTTCCTCTTTCCACATTTGTACAAGTGTTTCTATAGAACAAACCCCTCAGAATAGAACCACTTACTCAAGGAGTGATCCCTTTAAATGTTACCTTGTATAGATTTTGCCAAATCGCCCCCCCCCCCCCCCCACCGAGTTATCTCACTGTTTCTATGTGTCCAACCATCACATACAGAAAGGATAGTAAGTTTTATTAACTTTCCCATTTACTCCCTGAGCACACTGAACAATTTACTACAAATATAACAGGAAAGAAATTTGGCATTCCTTGGCAACTAAAATGTCATTTTTCATGACACAATTTCTGCTTTTGATTACAGAAAATGAATGTGGAATCTTTGTAACTCTCCTGTGAAATCTGTTGTTCTCCCCAACTCTTATCTTTCCATTATGAGGATCAGACTTTCCAGCACCCAAGCTACAAACAATACTAATAAAAGAGGATTCAGCTCCAACTCCTTCTCTTTCACCTTCCTATCCACTGGGGCTTCTGCCCTCATTCGAGTCCCCCTTTCTTTCCCTCTGACACCTGCCTGGTTTAGGTTCTCAGCCTCTCTGGCTAGCGTATTAGACTTCCTTCCAACTTGTTTTCAGTCTACTTCCATTTTTTGCATTGTTGTTAGTTTTGTTGTTCTGTATTCCGTTAGCCTTTGAGGCCCTCCAAGAGAGGGGGCTCTGTGTGCTTCCTCTTTGACTTCTCCTGCTGAGCACTGCCAGGTGCAGATCAAATGCACAGTACTTGTTGAATGGAACTGACCATTTGTTATTATGCCACTTTGTTATTCTAAAAATTCAGAGGGACCCAATTGCTTATCAAATCAAGGCAAGCTAAAGGGTTAGACTTTCTTTAATAGGCGAGCTTCAACTTCGCTTTTCAACTGTTTTCATACTTTCCCTGCTTTAGACAAAGAACTCATTATTTTGCAAATATGCCTCTCTCCTTCTTGCCCCTGTGCCTTTGCTCACATGTTTTCTGCCTAGAAGGTGCTTTGTCCTCATTTCCTCAAATCCGGTCTCTCCTTCCATATCCACTGCAGATGCGTTTCCTTTGTGAAGCCTCCTATGTTCTCAGGAGTTAGATATTTCTTCAGTCTCTAGACCTGAGATATTTTTCACGGTACCGATCATGTTGTATTATTTGTTTAATGTGTGCAAACCAGTCTGATCATCCCCACATGCTATGAACTTTTTAGGAAGAGTCTGCCTCTTCTTTATGTCTGTCACAATACTGAGTTCATGGCTTTACACAAGATAATTGCTCAATAGAACAGTTGCCATGGAACAGTCAATTCAACGAGTAAAATTACCGTAAAGGAGTCCATTAATTCACCGTCCTTAGATGTAGACGGATTGTTCTGAATAGATACTTATCTCTCACTCTTAAAATCCTCAATATGCTAATAAATATTTTATCAGATGTGAATGACTATTAATAAATAATAAAGTGTGTCCTGCTTTGTATATTTCTACATGAAAATGACACCTAGAAATATCAAATTATATTGTGGGATGTAAAAACTTTTTTCTGGAAGTCAAACATTTGTTTTGTTGTCCTTTCGGCAGCAAATATCACAGATTTTATATTCAAGATAATGTCCTGTATTATTTTCCCCCTTACAAACCTTTCGAAAAATAATTTAAGCAATTCCGGGATTGTTTGTAGCAACAATGAATTGATTTTGAAAGTGTACTTTTTAAATAAAAATTGACCTTTATCAAGTAGTCCCTGAGGGCCCATCATTGATTAACTTCTTGGCAGGTTATTAAGACTTATTCTTCCATACTGTGTTAACGAAGCTTTATACTGGCACAGAACTCTAACTAGTGTGTCCTTTCTGTGAAGGTACATCTACGTTGCTGATATACTGGCTCATGAAATTCATGTTTTGGAAAAACACCCTAATATGAACTTAACTCAATTGAAGGTAAAATACTTATTTTACATATAATAAGTAGACCTTAATCTATTACACTTTGTAATTACATAGTTATACTATATTGCCACAATGCTTCACTTAGAAGAGACTATGATGCCAGTGTTGCCATTCTGGGTTTTTAAATATTTCCTGCCTAAACCAGGCAAGTCTCCTGTCCCCAGCAATCACAAGGACTGAGTGATTACACGCAGCAGAGGGTTGGGAGTGATATTTGCATCAGATTTAGAGCCCATTCCGTGCAGTACTGGTAGTACCCAATGAATTCCAATAAGAATTTTCACAATTGAAAAGACTAATAGACGGATTCCACAATGAAGATTTATGCACATTGTCAGCTCTTTCAATAATAAATGAAGGTAGAAATTGGGTTCCACACCATTATTATTTTCTTCCTGCTTGACAACACATATTTTAGATTGATTAAGAATTTCCTATTTTGCTTTGAATGAGTTCCTAGAGCTAACTGATCATTGTGCATCTTTTAAGGGAAAAGGAGTCCATTTTTTAGAGAGATGGATTATCGCCCTAACTTTCTTAATTTCAGGGAAGATGAAAAGTGACTCTAAGCCAGTTTATTAAATTTATTTTAGGCAATATTGGTGCTAAAAGGGTGGAAGCAGGGAGCTGTGTATAATTTCCCCACGTGTAAAGAGGCGAGAAAGGTTAGCCCTAAATTATTTAATCAAGTTTCTCATGTCATTTAGATATTGACGTTTTTTCATTTGGAAGGTACTCAAGTTGGATACACTAGTGGATAATTTATCTATTGATCCTTCCTCGGGGGACATCTTCGTAGGCTGTCATCCTAATGGCCAGAAGCTCTTCGTTTATGACCCAAATAATCCTCCATCGTCAGAGGTTTTTCATATTTTTTAAACCTTAATTTTTCAACTTTAATGACTCAAGTCCTTTTGAACTAATAATACAGTAAATTGTCACAGGGATGGTTTGTTTAGCCCTTTTAAACCAATAATTCAATAAACTTATGCAGTGATTTTCTAAGTGCTGTAAGCCAATAATTGGCAGAATTTCACTTATTCAAATACTTTCAGAAAGATAATCTTTTGATGTACTAAATTACGGTGGAAACTGGTCAAAAGGCATTTTCTATAAAGACATGTGCCCTCCTTGTGTGGTATACTGGCAATTTCAAATACCTAGCTTATTGTCAGCTCACCCCATGACATGACTTCTGTTCCTGCTAAAGTAGTGCGAAAGTACTCACATTGGTGTGGAAATATTTCCATTAATGCTCAATTACTATAATAACAGTAAATCCTGTGTTGGCATGCGCAACTAAATGGTTTAAGAAAGTACTTTCTTTGAAGGTTTAAAAAAAAGTACTTTCACTTAAACATTAAAAAGATTGGTAACTGCTGTTTTCAACAGCATGTCCTCTTAATCATTGTGTCATTGTGGAAGACAGGGATTATTGGTGATTGAGTGACATGGGTGTATGGTGGTTCTGTATTAATCTTTTGTATCCCCTGAATAGGTTCTCCGCATCCAGAATATTCTATCTGAGAAGCCTACCGTGACTACTGTTTATGCCAACAACGGATCTGTTCTCCAGGGAAGTTCCGTGGCCTCAGTATATGATAGAAAGTTGCTCATAGGCACTTTATACCACAGAGCCCTGTACTGCGAACTCTAAATTGTGCTTTTGGGATACAAGTGTGCTAACTTCTTTTAACAATTAAGTTTCTATGAATTGCTAATTCTGTGGGGATTTAACCATGAAAAGTGGACCCAGAAATGTATGACACGTATAGTTAATTTTATTTTAGCAAGGAAAGCCCCCTTCAGTTCTGATAGCACTTTTAAAATAAAAGGAAAGGGGACAGTGTTTAAAACTGCTGAGTAAAGGAGAGAGAACACAGCTGCTTCCAGTCAACTGGATACACTGAACAAAATAAGCCTCATCTCTCTGCCTGCCAACTGCCAGAGCATGCGGTCCACTGAAAACAGGGTAGACTGCATTTCCTTAAAATGTGAGTGACCTCAGCTCCAACAGTGTGACCACTGTGACTGTTCAGAACTACTGATAGATAACATTAGGATGTTTTCTACTTACATCTTTGTATACTATTAACAAGTTGGGAGTTAGATTAAAGGCTAACTGAAATCCAAGTTTTGCCTGTTGTTTAATTCTCAAGGCATGTCTGCAGGAGGAGAATGGGAAAGTGGCCGCTTCCTTATGGGGTTTCCTTGGGATCAGCAGGCATGGCAACGTTAATTTCTTTCATTGAAAGCTGAATGTAAATGAGCTCCTTCTTTGAATAAAATGGAACAAAGAATTAACTAAATATTGCAGCTGGAATTCTCAGTGAGTATGGAGTATTTCATCAGCTCTCTTCTTTAATGGGAGCACACATGCCTACAAAGGAGAGATGAGAGGTTGGAGCTGGCAGGTCATGGCACCTCCCCATTTGAACACCACTGTGAACTTCACTGGGAGAGATGAAGTCAGCCATCCAGGGCCAGCCACACGGTCAGTCCTAGAAATGCTAGGGACAGGACCGAGGGTGTCTGCCTCCCAGAGGAGAGTTCTTTCCACTCAGTAAATGTCCGGTTAAAATCATCTTAAGCCCTGGAGAGAGACTTGCATGTGTTTCTACCCACTGTACCCTACCAAGGCACTTTGCCTGTCATACTTTTTTTCCCATTGTCAGCATCATTGTCATCAAACTATTTGGCAGTTACTTAAATTTGGCAGACAATGCACCAACAGTTGTATGTGCATTATCTCATTGAGTCCTGATTACAGTCCTGAGGGAGTAGGTATTGTTATTACATAACTATTAACATTTCACAGGTGTTCAAGGTCATACACCTAGTGAGGGGTGGCTCCCCATCTATTTCTGATGCCAGAGGCTGTACTACAGGAAGAAATAGAAATGTTACCCACTACAGGAAGCTACTGCCATGGAACTAATGGGGATCTCCTTATTTACTCATTTACCTATTGTACAGTTTCTTCTGGTTTTTTTTTTTTTTTTAGGTATCAATTTGAGTTATACTTCTTAATGAATCTTTTAATGACTTTTATTTTTTTTTAAGTTTATTTATTTATTTTGAGAGAGCAAGAGAGCAAGCACAAACTGGGGAGGGGCAGAGAGAAGGAGAGACAGAATCCCAAGCAGGCTCTGGGCCATCAGTGCAGAGCCCGAGGTAGGGCTCGAACTCACAAACTGTGAGATCATGATTCAAGCTGATATCAAGAGTCAGATGCTTAACCAACTGAGTCACCCAGGTGCCCCTTAATGACTTAAATGTAAACTGCAGCACTATTCTTAACCTTGGCCTCTGTCTACTTGACCTGTGTTTTTATTTACATTTAAAATTTTTTTTTTCCAACGTTTTTATTTATTTTTGGGACAGAGAGAGACAGAGCATGAACGGGGGAGGGGCAGAGAGAGAGGTAGACACAGAATCGGAAACAGGCTCCAGGCTCTGAGCCATCAGCCCAGAGCCCGACGCGGGGCTCGAACTCACGGTCCGCGAGATCGTGACCTGGCTGAAGCCGGACGCTTAACCGACTGCGCCACCCAGGCGCCCCTTATTTACATTTTAAAGTAGTCTCTTACTCACGTATATTGGAACTAATTCATGCTAAAATAATGATTGTTTTCATTATCCATAAGAAAAAAAATAAGTCAACAGATGAATAAAGCAAGATTAAATATTGTTCACTAGAGATCCAAAACCAAGAAGCATGTGTTTTGGATGATAACAGTGACTATCTAAAAATATACATTCATGAAAAGTAGAATAGTGTAGGCATAAAATATACTTGTTTTCTGTTGTATTTGTTAGAAATCTTATTTGGACAAAAGTAAATATAATTGAATAAGCTCATGTATTATTTATCTTAGAAATACAAAGAGAATTTTTAAAATAAATTCCAATTTTGGCCTGTGTGGGCCAGGGATTTTGTTTTATCTAATCACAAAGGCTGCATTTATATATGGTAATCTTACTGTGATCATATATTGAGTTTAACAGTTTGGTGGGTTAAGAAGCCGTCATTCAAAAAGACTGAAACTGCAATTAGGATATGTCACCACTAGGCGGATCCAGGGCCCATAGGAGTGCGAGTGTTTTCATTGTTTTTAATCTGACATCCTGTGCAGTGACAGTAGATATCATTTTGGTTTTTCACAAAACCTGAGCTCTTTTTCAACAGCTAAATGTGAACGTGAACACCTAATACACGAACAAGGGAAATTAAATATAAGCGGTGATACAGTACTTTTTTTCTCATAGTATATATGGATTAATTATGATTAACTCCTCTAAGGAGTTTTTTTTTTTTTTTTTTTTAAGTTTTTTAAACTTTGATTTGCTCAGTTTGAATCCCATCCTGGATTCACAACTTAACTAGGCTGGTGAATGTCTATCCTGCAAAGCAATGAAAAATTAAACAGCACCCACCACTAAACTGTGCATTTCCTCCTCTCTTTAGCTACTCAATAATTGTCATTCCTCACTCGGCTTTTCCACAGAAGGATTTCTTTTTTTTCTTAATGTTTATTTATTTTTGAGAAAGAGACAGAGTGCAAACGAGAGGGGCAGAGAGAGAGGGAGATGCAAAATCTGAAGCAGGCTTCAGGCTCTGAACTGTCAGCATGCACAGAGCATGACTTGGGGCTCAAACTCACCAACCGTGAGATCATGACCAGAGCCAAAATTGGATGCTTAATGGACTGAGCCACCCCGGTGGCCCTTCACAGAAGGATTTCTGAGTGTGGAAGAAGGGTTGAGAGAACCCCAACAGCTCTCTTGGTTTTCTGCTCCTAGTTTTGAGGATTTTTATTCCATAAAGCAGAAGGCAGAGAAAAGGAGAAAAAAAGCCTAATTTTTATTATTGCAAAGAGGATAACTTTCAGTTCACTCAAAAAAGTTTTTTAATACATGGAATGGCGTGGTGTACCCTACCTCCCGTCTCTAGGACCTGTAATATAATAAATTGTTTCTCTGTCTTCTCTTGTGGCCACACTTGGCTGACCACTTCATAAAAGAATATGAAACAATTGATTAACTTTGCCTCTTTTTTCTTTCCCCTTCCCCTTCCCTCCCTCCTATCTTTTCTGTCGTCCTTCCCTTCTTCCCTCCTAAAAATATATCCCCCCCACCGCCGCCACCCACCACCAACCCTGAATGTAAGCCCCTTGAAGGCAAGGGTATCGTGTCCACAGTATGTCTTCAGTGCTAAGCAGGTATAAGGTTCATCAGATACTACTCAATGTGAATGACAAGAAATGTTCCTTCCTTGTCTCCAATCTCCCACAAGTTAAATTCAATGGAGGTGAACACACCATTCCAGAGCACAAGTTAAATTGAGTGGATGTGAATACATCTGGTGTTCCATCACAGCACAGTGTTACATGTGATCTGTAATTCTTTGAAACAAATGTTCACATTGACATGGGAAGCAGTAGGAATAGCAGCACCCCCACATCCTGTTTGTTCATGAATTTCATCCAAAATATGGGTCATTTGTTTTCATGGACATTTCTTCTTACATGTCAAAGATCAAGCTGATATAAAAAGGTACACATTGAGAAGTCTCTTCCTGTCCCATCTGCTCCATTTACAGGAGCCAATTTATTAGTTTCTCCTGTATATCTTTTCCAACTTTTTAAACAAGATTTTATTTTTAAGTAATCTCTACATCCAACGTGGGGCTTGAACTCACAACTGTGAGATCAAGAGTTGCACGCTACACTGACTGAGCCAGCCAGGTGACCCTCTTTCTAATACATAAATACAAGCAGATACAAATATATATTCTTATTTTTCCCCTTTACTTCACAGAAGGTAGCAGACTACCCTGGGGTCTGCATATTCCCTTTACCTAAGGATAATTTTTGGACATGTTTTCATATCATTACAAAGAGAACTTCGCTAATTCTTTTTTATAGCTGCCCCGTCTGCCCTTGTTTACTTAACCAGTCCAGTTGTTTACTATTACAAACAGTGCTGCAAAAAGCAATCGTGTGCATGCCTTATTTTGTACGTGTGCAGATATATCTATGGAATAAATTTATGAAAGTGAATCAAAAGGCGTAAAAACTGGGTCGAAGTCTAATTTCATTTGAGTGTTTGATAGATATTCATAACTCACTATAAGAATTACAGCATTTTGCAATGTATAAGAATTTCCCCCCAAAACATCACCAGCAGGTTTTGTTGTCAAACTCTCAAATGTTTGCAAAAGTGATAATCTGTTTTAATTTTCATTCTATTATTACAAGTGAATCTAAGCACATTTTCAAATATTTAAAGAGATTTGTATTTTTCTGTGAACTTTTTTTTCTTTTAGGTGTTGATTTTTTTTAAAAATGAAGTCCTAGGAGTTCTTCATGTATAGAGGATGGAAATATTTTTCCAGTTCGTAACTGTAACTTATCAGTTATGCAATTCTTGATAGGGTTTGGAAGCACAAGAAAATGATGTTTCTCATTAGAGCAGAAAGCAGTACACAAGTTCTCAAGCTCATGGAACCCAATTGTTCCATCACTTGTGGTACTAAGCTGGAGGAGACATGATTCAGATTTTCCTTCAGAAAAAGCTAATGTAATAATAAACAAATGTATTTTAACAATAAACAGTAAATTGGACAATCCAGAGCCTGAGGGCGATGATCATGATAAACATGACTTTTTTTGCTCTACATTGAAGAAAACTCAAAAGATTTTTCCTATGATATCATAATGGAAATTGTAGCTTTCAATGGACTCTGTGTTTTTCTATCAAT